GATAACACAGACCCAATCCACTGAACTCAGAATCTTTTATTTATTTATTTTATTTTTATATTCCCCATACAATTGCAACCCCGATTCTGACCCCAATCCCTCCTTTCCCCGCCCCCCCCCCAAAGTGTGTCTCTGGTTCATAGTTGTTTGTTGATTTTGATTTTTTTCTTTCTTATAGTTATTCTTTTTCCTGTCCCTTATTTAGGTTTTCTAGATTCCTGTTATGAGTGAGACCATGAACTCAGAATCTTAAAACCTAAATAAGGGACCAGGAGAAAGACTAATTAAAATAAAGTAAAAATCAAAATCAACAAGCAAACTATAAGCCAGAGACACACTATGGTGGGGGACAGGGGGTTGGAGGGATTATGGTCAAAATAAGAGGGGTTGGGAACTGTATGGGGACTATAAGCAAGATGAAAAAGCATACACTGTGCAAAAATGAAAAATGATGTGAAAAATAAAAAAATACAGATTCTAACCTCCGGAACTACTTTCAGGGCCAAATCTTTGTCAGTGTTCCATCAGAGAAATGATTTGATCAGTGGCATCTAAGAAACTGATCACACAGTTAGATGAGCTGCTTGTTTCTCTCTGTCGTTGAAAGCTGAAATCTGCAGAGCAGGAAGTCGGTGAGATGAAAGTGAGATGGGTATTGGGGGTGTAGGGTAAGGAAAAAGTATCAGGCTTTTCTGCCTTCCCGCCATTAGGAAAGATGAGGGAACCCTGTGGTCCTGAATGCATGCCTGATGGCGGGCACCTGAAGTGGGTACACCTGGGCTGAGAGACTGAGTTTATAAGGGCGGCGTCATGGGGACACCAGCAGAAGCCAAGAACAAACGGAAGCTGAGAGAAGAAGAAGAGAAGCAGAGAGAATGCCAGAGAGCCCAGATAGAGTGAGGATTTGCTGGGGGCTGGGAGGACTGCCAGCCTCCTGGCCCCCCAGCACCCCTGCCTGCCATGTGCCTGGTAAATCTAAATAAAAGACCTGCAAAAGGCACTGAGGACTCTGACTCCTCCTTTACCCGGTCTGCTGGTTCATAGAAAACCTGCTCAGTGTCCTTCCTGACCCTATAGGGGGCAACAAGAACAATCTAGGATTAGGAGATTGAGATGGAACTCATGGTGGCAGACTGGCAGCTTTGTTATTCTCTCTCCAGGACTCTGAAATGACGGGCATCTGAATTAACACCTTCATCGCAGAGTTAAACACACATTAAGTCCAGAATTGGAGAAGAAGAAGGGGTTGAGAGAAGAGCTGCAGCCGCTGTGGGCTAGGGCAACCAGCAGCCAAGTAGCAAAAGTAAACAGCAATAATGTCTCACAAACTGTTCCTCTATCCAAGCATAAAGAATACAATGATATCTGCTCCGGTTTCACCTTCCAAATCACACAGAATGAATTGTGTTGACCTATAACAATGCAGGAATATAATTCTGGGTAACAAAGTTCTGGCTAAATCTAGGTTGACTTAATACATACTCACCATACTACTGGTTAAGGAAGAAATCACATGATATTGATGACATTAGGAAATGCTTTGAACTGTAAAATAATGAAAACAAAGCATATCAAAATCATTGGGCCTGAGAGGGAACTTTGTGGGTTTTGCTTATTATTGAAAAAAGGAGGGCCTCCCCGGTGGCGCAGCGATTGAGCGCTGGGTTGCAAAGCTGCCCGCAGCCTCTGCAGCGCTGGTTCGATCCCCGGCTGCTCCCCGGCCACTGGAGGAGGGTCCCACATGGCGCGCAGACCTCTCCTGCCGCCCGCTGCTCCCCTCAGCAGTGTATTTCAGTCAGTCTGCCTGTTCTGTTCCCCCCTCTTTCTCTGGTGAATCTTCTCACCCCCCTCCAACCTTTGGCCTGTACTCCAGCTCTTGTATGCATGAATAAAAAAAAAAAAACCTTAAAAAAAAGAAATGAAAATATAATTTCTCATTTTAGTACATGATACTGTACAAATGATATTTCAATAATAAGATCTTCAATTTGATGCCAGAGATTTAAGAAAAACTAAGTTTTAGATATATTTGAATAAAGCAAATATTGATTCAAACAAGTACTTTTCTTTCTGTACCAAATGAAGTAAAACTTGTTGAGAATATGGTCTGTACAACGCCTTCCCTATTATCTTTCTTACACATTTATGTACTTTTCAGGAAGTTAAGTTTCTTCTATTTTATCTCAAAATCTTGAAGACTGGCCTTATGGTTTATAGCAATGCATTTTTTAAATGAAATTATTTTGCAACAGGCAATTCAGGTATCTTAGAACTGTTTTAAAGAAAATTCACCATAATGTGTCAATTTGATTTAATTTATGATTTTCCTCTCTATCCCTTATCTCCAATTCACCTCCTGTCTTTCACCTTCCAATTTTAAGGTGAAAATATCTAGGCATCTTTCTCCCTGCAGTTGATTTCTACTGAGGGCCTGTTCTAGAATTAATGACAATAATCATTGAACCTAGAAAACGGAGTCATTGAGCACAATTTACATGAATAATAGCCTGTGTTGACATTTAATTGAGTGTTTCTAACTTAGTTAATCTTATCTGCTAGGCAGTATTTTCATCAATTTACAGATGGAGAAATCAAGGTCATGCAATATGCAAGTGACGGAACCAGGATGGAAAATTGTTTAACTCCAAGGCTCTGAGCTTCTATAATTCCTCTGGGATGAAGCACATTACAGCCGAAGTCATAGATTTGCCTCCTAGGTTTGTCATTTCTTGGTACAATCAACCAATAATTTTGAGGGTTCTTTGTTATAATTCCACATGGATTCAATCAACCCATACATACCATCAGAATCCAGGGAATGGGTGGGTTGTTTCCAGTGGAAAGTATGAAGACTCATACTGACTGAGAATAGTCTATCCTTGACATAGGAACCCTTTTTTTTATTTTATTTTATTTTTATATTCCCCATACAATTGCAACCCCCTTATTTGGACCCCATTCCCTCCTTTCCCGGCCCCCCCCCCACCACCGCCATAGTGTGTCTCTGGTTCATAGTTGTTTGTTGATTTTGATTTTTTCTTTCTTATAGCTACTCTTTCTCCTGGTCCCTTATTTAGGTTTTCTAGATTCAACATAGGAACCCTTTTTGATTGCTCTTTTACTTCCCCTTTAATCTCTCCTAAGGCATTCAGTAAATGTCATTTAACGAATAAATGAGAAAATGTCCAAAAAATGTGTCAGCTTGCAGATTAAATATTTGCACCTAGTGCAGTGTTTGACACCTAGTAGGTGTTCATTAAATATTTACTGAATATTTATTGTCATGTCCACCATTTCAGTAATTCATTCAGCAAAGGATCAAATCTCAACTATGTCTTGGGCATTTTGTAAGGACACGTGGCTTAATACATCGACAATTGACGCATGGCCTCTCTTTAATCTTAGCTAGGTTTTCTTCCCCCATTGCTGCCCTTGGGCCCTTTCTTCCTTCCTCCTTTCTCTTAACTTCAGAAACCACATTTTTTAGTGTCTGCTAGGTTTTATAAGTATTTTGCTTTGTCAATCTGTCCACATTCCTTTTTTAACTCATGTATATACCAATGCCCACTACTTCTTTGTCATCCTGACTTGTTTGGCTACACATAATTCCATCAAGCACCTTCCATTTTGTGTTAAAAGGTCAACATCATGTCTTTCCTTATAGTTGGAGAGTATTCTTCTTTACCTAATCCCCTATCAGTGGGTTACTTCCACATCCTACATGGTCTCCACTAAAGGAATCTGGACTCTAGAATAAATAAGGTGCATGTAAGCACAGCTGTTAGAAAGCAGTGAGTGCTGATGTGGAGACTGGCAGAAAAGTGTTTTCAGTTTGATGTAAAGAACTTCTTTTCCCCTAAATTGATTTCATTGGGTATATTTTTAATGCTTTCCTTGCCACCTCATGGCTTCAAACTTTTTATGTATCTCGTTTAATTCCAAATTTCTTGGTTCTGGTTTTACCTACTTTCCATCTTCCTTGTAGGCTTCATCACTGTATAATCTGCCTCCACTCTAAACTCCATGTATCAAAAAGTGAACTCTTAATTCTCTCCAAATCTGTCCCTGACAGATTTCCTAAGAGGAAAAAGAAACAATACAGGGGATGAGAAGTGGAAATTCGTAACATTCAGTATTCTAGAACAGGGAGGCAGATGAGGACTCAATAAAGGTCTCCGGGTTTTCTTAAATATGTTCTTGTATCAACTCCATCCATTTCCCAATGTCTACCATAATGTGAAATGTGATCTTGACTTTTCCTGTCCTATTTCTGTAAAGGGTTTTTATAAAAAAAAAAAAAAAAACAACAACAACAAAAAAAAAAAACAAAAAAAAAACCCAGGCTATTTTAAATAGACCCAGAGCAGGTTGGACGCCATTTCAGAGGTACTGCCTACCTCATCTTGTTCCTCCACGGTCTGAGGACATCAGGAAAACAAACATCCTGGTCAAAAGATATGTTGATTATGGACTTTTTATCTAGAGATAGAATCAGCAACCAATTACATATAGCCAAGGTGGCTGAACCTTGTCAGTACAATTAGGAAGTTTTCCTAACAACTCATGTGATTTTTCTCTTCTATAAAAAAAACCCTTGTTTTTATCCTGTAACTCAGTATACAATTTGGGTCTCTACCTGCATCTTTATTTCCTGACCTGTAACTCATCACAAATAAATGTGGTTTGCCTTTTAATTGTCTCCTGATTTGTAAGCTGACAGTGTCAAAGTCAAGGTAAATAGTCTTTGATGTGATATCTATCTGGGAAGGACTTTATTCTCACTTTCAAAAAATATCCTTGAATTCCTCTAACGGACAACAGGGAATGTGTTGTACAAAAAACATATAAAAAAAAGTTAGGACTGTCTAACATAATACTGCTTAATAAGACTAGAATTTATTTATTTTTTAAATTTATTATTTTTATTTTTATATTCCCCGTACAATTGCAACCACCTTATTTTGACCCCAATCCCTTCTTTCCCCGCCCACCCCCCCACAGTGTGTCTCTGGTTCATAGTTGTTGATTTTGATTTTTTCTTTCTTATTCTTTTTCCTGGTCCCTTATTTAGGTTTTCTCGATTCCTGCTATGAGTGAGACCATCCAGTATTTTTTTCTTTCTGGCTTATTTCGCTGAGCATTATCCCTTCCAGCTCCATCCATGTTGCTGCAAAATGCATGTGTTTATCTTTTTTGATTGCTGAGTAATATTCCATGGTGTATATGTACCATATCTTCTTGATCCAGTCATCTATTTTTAGGTATTTGGGTTGTTTCCATAGCTTAGCTATTGTAAATAGTGTTGCTATAAACATAGGGGTGCAGGTGCTTTTTGGAATTACTGTTTCTGTGTCTTTTGGGTAAATACCTAGCAGTGGAATTGCTGGAACATATGGAAGCTCTATCTTTAGTAGGTTGAGGAATCTCCACACAGCTTTCCATAGTGGTTGGACCAGTTTCCACTCCCACCAGCAGTGCAGGAGAGTTCCTTTTTCTCCACATCCTCGCCAACATTTGTTGTTGCTAGTTTTTTTAATGTGTGCCATTCTCACTGGTGTAAGATGGTATCTCATTGTAGTTTTGATTTGCATTTCCCTGATTACAATATGCCTATTGGCCATTTGCATTTCCTCTTTGGAGAAGTTTCTTTTTAGCTCTTCTGCCCATTTTTTGACTGGATTATTTTGTTTAAGACTAGAATTTAAATAGTGGGAGGGCAAAATCTATTATTTCTAACAGCTTTGAACCTCTCTCTCCCTGCAAATCATGTTCTTTCTATTAGCTACACCAAAATCAAAATCTAACACTTGTAATTGGAGTTACGGAATTAAGGACACTAAGACAATCAGCCCATGGATAATCTGAAATCCTTTTAGGTTTATTCCCCTCTTCATACTTCTGTTAGGATCCTCAGAAAGAGGGGAGTAAATTACACAGGTATGCAAACTGGCTAGTTATTCAAGAAACTTGTGGGCCTCCCTGGTGGCGCAAGGGGTTAGGACACAACCTATGAAGCTATCCACAGAGTTTGATCCCTGGCCAGAGAGCTGCCTACATGGCGCAGCAGACCTCTCCTGTCTTGCCTGCTGCTCCCCTCAGCAGTGTATTTCAATCAATCTGCCTGTTTGGTTCCCCACTCTGTCTCTGGTGAATCCTCTCACCTTCCACACCTCTGGCCTGTACCCCAGTTCTTGATGCATAAATAAATCTTAAAAAAAAAAGAAACTAGTTACCCCATCTTCCTAGGCACACAATTAGATACATTTCCCAGAATTTCTTTCAGTTAGATGGGCCGTATGAATTTTTTCCAAAGGAATAGGAGTCGAGGAGTATGCATAACTACTATGTCAGTTGCACAAAATTTTCCACATGCACTTTGTTCTCTTCCCTTAAGTGCTGCTTCAACAAAGAAGATTCTGCAGATTGAGAAAGGCTGAGCCTGAAGATAGCGAGTCTGGATCTCAGAATGCCAGGCTCCTGCAACGTACACACTGAACTTGACATGAGAAAAAAATTATCTTGGAACTTAAAACAACTGAGTCCCAGTTTCCTCGTCTCCGGGATTCGTTACACTTTCTGAATATGAGTAAAAGTTCAGTAAATACTAGCTGTCATTATTATTAGGAAACAAAATTTACTTCTGCTTAATTCCCTTCTTTTTCTTGAGCAAAGTGGAGCACTGAGCAGAATTTACCAGTTACAGAATACTAACTGATACATGGCTATGTTTAGGTAAAGTAACTTAAAAAAATTTTAAATTAAATTAAATTAAATTCTACAGCTGGTCCTTTGTTGAAATACTCAAAAGATGTAAAATATAAAGAACATGTGACACCCTCTTCTCTCTTTAGCCTGTTGACATTGAGCATTTGGAGACATTCTAAAGCAGTTTTGACAATTCACAATATTTATGTTTCCAAATTAACACAAAATTTGTACAAAAAATACTCTGTGCTGTTATAATAGTTAACTGATACAGTTTAATAATATTCATAATCAACTTTTATTGATTTACATAAATAGTTCATAGAATGCCTTTGTAAACCATGTTTTTTTCAATATATGTTACAACACACAACATTTATTTATGAAAGTATTTGTCAAATCTTTTTGCAGAGGAAGTGGGTAAAGTAAGGAGGAAGATTACGACTTCAAAACTAATCTTTAGTGACAGGCCTAAATATTTGGCAATTATTTCCTTTTATAGAAAATTATAGGTCTGTAACTTTGAAACATATCAAAAGTGCAGTGCATCAGTTTAATTAAAAAACCAGCAGTCAAATATATTACTGGGGCATCAAATTTCCCTTTCTAAATATATTTAGATTCACATAACTTTATGCTTATTACATAATGGTTTTAAACAACAACCATCAAAATCTTTAAATAATCCCACATCTGGATTAAATCATGGTAATATCAATTTTTAAAAACTGGTTTATTTATTCATTCATCAGTAAAATGTAACATTTGACAATATCCCCAGAGATTAAGCTTCCTATGTGTAGGAAGACGACAATCTTATTACACCTGCTATGAAGTAAGTCATTTACATAGCCACTAATATATTATTTCAGAATTGGTGTTCACATTGATGTTTTCACTTGAACCAAGTATTACAAGTAGTCATTACTCTACCAACACTGAAGACTTAATTCCTGAAACAAGGAACCATCTTTATATTTATACTTTATTAGTATTTCTTTATTATGGTGCTTAGCCTTGGAGTTCAGTGAGTTTTTCTTAATGAATGTGGCTGGATTAAGGCAAAGGACATAACCTAGTCCTCTCAATAATTTATTTTCTCTCCATCTTTTAAAAAATTATTGTTGAGGCTATGTAAATTACAGATTTGATGGCTAGAAAGACACAGTCATCTCTTAGATCAATACCTAGAGTTTTAATGCATGAGACTGATTTCCTCTTGAGCTATCGTTACCATTATGATCATTCCTCATCGGTACCCTCAATGCTGATTTTCAAATGGTGCCATTTACTTGCTATGTCTCTTGGCTGTATGGAGATTATTTTCCTTATTAAAAATATTTAATAAATGAGCAATAATCTACTCAGTCTTTGTAAGCTCTCCATTGAATAATTTTTCATTTTCACAACCATTCCTTGCATGGCTGTTGTGATTTTCTTCTATTATATTCTTCATATATGTATGTGGTCCCTTGCCTTCAAAGGAGGAAGGATTTTTGAATGAGCCTCCAATTCTATCCCACAATGTAAAATACTGTCCATAGTTGTAGTCAAAGTAGAGGTGATGGTCTGTATGATGAGCTGCGCCATTAATAAATGGCCTTAAGATATGAGGTACACGAAAATCACCATCATGAATGGAAATTGTCCAGACATTGACCAAGATATACAAACCTAAATAAACCAGCTTGTGTAATGGAAAGACAAAAGGGTATATATGATAAGGCAGACTCTGAAGAAAGCCATCCACAGGGTGAAAAGCATGACTTGCAAATGGAGTAGGAACCTTCCAGATATGATGAGGTTTATGTATGTGCTACAGAAGAAAAGGATACCATTAGCACCATAAAATTTACCCCAGTGCAGCATCAATTCAGCTTGTCATACTCATATTGTGGAAACAACCTAACTATAGCATTCCTTTGATATTAGCAAAATCATTTTGGCGGTGTCTTCCTACTTTGCCTCCAAATAATTACATATTAACACAGCCCTCACTGACCCATAAAAAATGATTATAAACAAAATGTACTTGGAACCTGTCATGACTAAGGCCATTTAGTTATTTACTAAGCTGACAGAAGTTATTGGAAATAGAGAACAGAATTTAAAATCATATGCAACTGAGATGTATAATATTTTTTCTTTCAGCTATAACAGACTCTACCTTATACACAAGTCTATGATGAAGGCCTCTGTGAATCCAGTAGATCAGCATATCAGTGAAAAAGAGGAAGGAAAACACACTAATAACGAGTTGAATCCAGCCTAGAAGAGACAATAGGGTACAGCAGAACCAAGATTCAGCTTCAGATCAGTTTATATTTTACACATCTATTTAAATGCAAAGTATGATCTAAGATTCAAACACTATAAACTATCTGTTTTGGCTAATTCAATAAACTATATATTAATTTCCCCTAACTTTCTGTAATTTTCTCATTTCATCATTTTCCTCTCATAAAGTTAAAATGTCCCACCTAAAGCATTTCTCAGTTAGAACAAGAGGTAGAAAGGTATTCCATGTTTATATATGGGAAGAATTAATATAGTTAAAGTGATTAAATTACCAAAAGTGATATTTAATATAATCCTCATTAAAATCTCAACAATATTCTTCAAGGAAATAGAACAAAAAATACTAAAATTTATATGTAACTATAAAAGACCCAAAAGCAACTCTGAGAAAATAAAAAAAGAAGAAAAATGAAGGTTTTATTTTATTTAAAGATTATTTATTTATACAAGAACTGGGGTACAGGCCAGAGGCGTGGGAGGGTGAAAGGATTCACCAGAGGCAGAGTATGGAGCAGAACAGGCAGATGGACCAAAAACACTGCCATGTACTAGTGGTGCAGAGGCTGCGGACAGCTTCACAGCACTGTGTTCATCCCGCTGCACAACCCAGGCGGCCCAAAATGAAAGTTTTATGTTGCCTGATTTTAAACTGTATTATAAAGCCACAGTCATTAAAATAATATGGCACTGGAATAAAAACAGACACGAAGATCAATGAAGTAGAAGCAAAAGCCCAGAAATAAATCATGCATATATCAATACAAAGGAGCCACAACTACAAAATGGAGTAAGGAGAGTCTCTTTTAACTAATGGTGCTGGGGAAACTGGATGGGCACATGTAAAAAATAAAGCTGGATCACTCTTATTCCATATACAAAATGAACTAAAAATAGGTTAAAGGCTTAGATATAAGACTGAGAACAATAAAATACATTGGTGATATAGATAGACAGACAGAAAAAGTGCTGCTAATTTTTTCAGCTGTAAACATGAATATAAAAAAGCAAAAAAAAAAAAAAAACCCTATCAAGATGTTTGAGACAAATAAAGGATATTCCTAAGGTATCTTTACTGCTCAAATATGAGAATAATGCTATTTAATTATTCTCCTTCATATTAATCTTCTCAAAAGCAAAGACTTACACACTACCTTTACACACTATCTTCCTACTTAGAAACTTTTTTGCCACTAAGTATCTTAAGCCTAGCATTTACTCCACAGCCAACACTTTCTAACCTCATCTATTCCTGGTAACCAGGCTGGATGACTCAATGTTCTTCCAACATCTTTTTTTCCTTTGTTCTTTCATTGAGATATTTTTGACATTTAACATTATATTAGCCTCCCAATATCTTGAAAGTCTTACCTCTGCACCTTTACTAATAAATGCCCTCTCACCCTTTGACTCATAATTCTATTCCCTTTTTTCAAGGCTAGCCAACTCATCCCCCTAGTGTTTAATTTTTGTTCTCTCCTTTAAATAGCTACTTTCTTTCCTAGAGAGCAGGGGGATTGGTGCTAGTAAACCTGGGTGCTAGTCCCAGATTCTCCACTTACTTGTTGAATGACCTGGCATGTTACTAAAACTCTTTGTACACTTAAATTACTCAGTCATAAAAGGGGATAGTACCTACCTCTTAAAATTGAACTAGAATAAAATGAATTGCTACAAGTGAAAAGCTTAGAATTACAGCTGGTACATATTAACAATCAATAAGTGTTAACTATTAATCTTACTTTCTAACACTAGATAGTAGAATGCCGCTTGAGGAAATATTCTCAGAATTTCATAAAAATTTAGTCACTGCAGGGGCCTCCCTGGTGGCGCAAGGGGTTCAGACACAGTACTATGAAGCTATCTGCAGCACTGCAGCACATGTTTGACCCCTGGCCAGGGAGGTGACCCATATGGCGCAGCAGACCTCTCCTGTCTCTCGCCCGCTGCTCCCCTCAGCAGTGTATTTCAGTCAATCTGCCTGTTCTGTTTCCCTCTGTCTCTGGTGAATCCTCATACCCCCACACCTCTGGCCTGTACCCCAGTTCTTATATGCATAAATAAATAAATCTTTAAAAAAGTCATTGCAAAACTATTATAATAGAAAAAAGGGGACCCATCTAAAGGTATAAAAATTAGAGTTTAAATAAGTTAAAGATAGCTATACAATGAGATATTAAAACTAATGTGCTCTACCTATTCATATTTAAACATGAAAATGTGAACATTATTAAGAGGGAAAAAAATCAAAGTCCAAATCAGCCTGTATAGTAACATTCATTTTTATAATGTAAATAATGAAATACACAAGTGTCAACAATGGAAAAATATGTGTCAAAAGATTTAGTTTCTAGGTAGCCAGATAACTGATTTTTTTTTAAATCTATGTATTTTGATTTTATATAATTGACAAGATTACTTGAATTTTTTAAAAAGAAGCTTGAATTCAATAAAGATTAAAGGAGACAAATGCAAGAACCTAGCTGTGATCACTCCTGCCTTCCTCCAGGTATGACCACATCTAACAGAGACTTTAAAATTAATAGATGGGCCTCCCTGATGGTGCAAGGGGTTAAGATGCAACGTACGAAGCTATCCACAGCCTCTGCAGCACAAGTTCAATCCCCAGCCAGGGAGTTACCCACATGGAGCAGCAGACCTCTCCTGACTCGCCCGTTGCTCCCCTCAGCAGTATATTTCAATCGATCTGCCTGTTCTGTTCCCCGCTCTGTCTCTGGTGCATTCTCTCACCCCCCCCACCTCTGGCCTGTACTCTCATTCTTGTATGTATAAATAAAATCTTTAAAAAAAAATTAATAGTTGAAACTAATGAAGTGCACATACATGGCATAACATGAATGCATAAAACCGAAACTGAAAAAATTACAATTTTCCACAAGAAAAGAGAAACAGATTTTGTTCTTTAGAGAAACTTGTCTGTACCTGGCATTTATGTATTTACTTACCATATGGAAACTCTCCTGTGTTGTCATATAATTTGCTGTACCCTCTCACCTCCAGCAGGAATAGTGAAACAGTGGGGATGCTTATCCATGGTAAAGACATGATAGTAAGCATAATCTCTCGGGACACTTGATTCTGAAAATGCAATTTCCAATACTTATAATCACCCAATCTTATGTTAAACAAAGCTTGTGTGCAATTATTTTCGATTTGACTTTGAAACTCTTATATGATGGTGTTTACCTCCAACCCGTTTATGTTAAAACTGTTTTATGTAAAAATGGGTATGTAAGAAAAACACTACTTTTGTACTGAGCAAATGCAGTAATTCTTTTAAATTCTGAAATTTTTTCTTCTTCCCACGAAACAGTATTCTAAAGTTCTATTTCCATACTAATCAGTATTTTTAAATTAACTTCTAGCCCTCAAACCTTTTATTTTGGTCCTTGGAATAACTGACAAATACAAATAACTCAAACAGAAGAATGACTGCAAACAAATCTAAAACTACTGTGTTCTAATCCTCTAGTCAAAGAAAAATACACACAGACTAAAACATTTCAGTTTGTTAATATCAACCACTAAAACAATCACATGCGTGTGCATTTATCATTAGTAAAGAAATTCTTCTCTATCTGGTATGTAGTAAGATAACAGGCTTAAAGTTAATTTATATATTTCTTTAAATTTAGGCATGGGAAGAGAGGGCTTGCCCTATTAAAAGTATCTACCCATTTGCAGCTGGATTCAAAAACTGTAGGTAATGGTTATAGTCAATTTAATCTAAAAATCTCACAAACATATCACACTGCAAAAGATGGGTAAGAAAAATCACTTACCTTTAAAAATTGTGGGTGTTTCATTAGTGAATGATCAAAGACAAAATAATAGTTCAGTGTTGCAAAGAAGAAATAAAGGATATAAGCCCCAAGATTTGTTATAATCAAGAGAGTACTAAATTGTCGGAAGATGTTATCTTCTGGCCATGCAGTTGGATATATGTATGGTGTAAAAAAATAATAATCTGCAGCATTGAGTACAAGATCCATCTTAGCCCCTGAAGAACAAACATATGCAACAATTATTTACCCACAATGACATTTCCAAAGCACAAATTTTTCAGAAAACTACCTACAAAGTTTTTGATTTAACCCTTTGCACTCCGCTGTCCCCTCTCAAGGGAAATCGGAATTCTAGCATATCACTCGGATGTCCCCTCTCAGGGGACACTGCAATTTATTAGTGATTACGGGGAACTGAGTTATTTCAACGCAACTTTTTTAGACATGCATGTTTCCCTGAAGTTTTATCTTGAAATGGCACAAGAAATTAAATCAAAATATCGTAAAATTACTAAGATATATACAAGAAATGTCAGCGGGTTTTGTGTCGGACAAGAACGTGAGATGCATGCTCACGACGGTCCGAGCACTTCGCGACGCCACTTGAAAAGAGTGATAAGGGAAGTTTGTAGAAGAAAGGTCGCTTTTCGAACATAGCACGCACTGTATAGTGAGATATACAATTACAAATAAACAAGTCTACATCTGGAGGAAAAGATTTTCAAAGCTGAGCTCATTTTGGTTTGAAGCTTCGAGCAGTGCACATAGATCTAACGGGGAGAAAATCGGAAAAGTGATTCTTTTCTTAGTGAATAAATTGTTTGGTGAAAGCTATTTTGGTAAATATCATCTTGTCAGTTAGTAATAACAATTAGAAATTTTCAACCCATGCATTTATTCATATTTTTTATTCGAACAATGGCAAAGCGTCCAACCACGAATGAGTCTCATGACACAAGTAGTAGCGAAGATGAGCTCCAGATAGACCTCTATACAGACATGTCAAACATGCACTAATCAGCCTGCAATGCATATTGGGGAGTGTTACAAAACTTATCATACTGTACAAAATTATAAACAATAAAATATTGTTTTTTTGCAAATATACATTCCTCGATGTCACCCAATTCATATAAGTCCAATATCATTATAATACATTACTTGGTTCCAAAATTATACTAAATAATACGAGGGTCTGTAAATGCACGTTTCCGCCGCAAAGTAGCGTCGAGTACCTGGTAGCCAATGTCCAGAATGGTTCGGAGTGCAAAGGGTTAATAGGTCTATGGAGTACAAGCCTGCTACTAGAATCCCTGAAATGTTATCTTTGGAATCGTAAAGGATCTTAAACATCATCTCTAGCGCAATCTCTTTTATTACACGTGAAACATTAAAGCTCAGTTAAAGAAACTGAAGCCCAGAAGTTTTTTCTCTAAGATCACTGGTAAGTAGCATTAAGTTCCAGATCTAATTCTCTTTCAGTGATCTTTTCTACTCTGTCCTGGCTTATTCCTTTGGTTGTAAATTTAAGCAGTACCTCCTAAAAGGATTCATTGCAGCGATATTTTGCTTCAGAGCTGAGACTTTAAAAGAATTACCTATAAGGTATCTATGCTGCCACCACAGAAGTCAGGGACTATTTGGGTCTTGTGACAGAAGAAAAGGACAAAGGGAGATGTATTCTTGGTGTAAAGAACTAGAATATAGATTTATTCCTCCCCGCCCCAAGCAATATTCTAGATCAGGGACTGGTAGCCAGTAGGTCAAACCCAGGCCTGCTTCTGTAAAAAGCTTTATTGGAACACAGCTATGTCCAGATGTTTATGTCTATATGTCTATGACAACTTCTCTACTACTAAGATGGGGCTAAATCATTACAACAGAAACAGTATGGCCCACAAAGGCTGAGGCATATACTATATGGTCCCTCGAAGGACAAGTCTGCCAACTCCTACTGCAGATGATTCAACTTTAGAAAAACTTTAGTCAACTGAGTAGTTCTTAAATCTATGCTCTACTCATGATTCTGCCTTAGAACTTAGCAACAGTACACCAAGTTTTGGGATGTTGAGCACTGGAACTATCATTTATGAGCTACTCCTTTATCCTTCACTGAATTCTTGGAAACAACAGCTGGCTAAACCAAATAGTATTTTTAAATTAACTTCTAGCCCTCAAATCTTTTATTTTGGTCCTTGGGATAACTGACAAATACAAATAACTAAAATAGAAGAATGATTGCAAACAAATCTAAAACTACTGTGTTCTCAGCGGGCGAGACAGGAGAGGTCTGCTGCACCATGTGGGCTGCTCCCTGGCCGGCCAGGGATCGAACTCGTGCTGCAGAGGCTGTGGGTTGCTTCATAGTGCGGTGCTTAACCTCTTGAGCCACCAGGGAGGCCCCACAGTTGATATTCTTGGAAAAAGACACAAGCATTACATCCTGTAGGTACTTATGCTGCAAATTAGTTTTAAATGAAATGATTGTATAATGTTCACTTAAAAGTAAAATTAGCGTTGCTTCTGTTGGATCCCTGGTCTCCCAGCCTCTTACAGACATGCAGCCCCCACCTCCGCTCTGAGCCGTCTTTGCCTTGCAGGCCCACCAGAGGGAGCAAAAAAATAAATAAATAAATAAATAAATAAAACTACTGTGTTCTAATCCTCTAGTCAAAGAAAAATATATAGATGAAAAATTTCAGTATTCAAATAGTCTTCATATGCTCCATATGTGGCCATGTACATAAACATCAATTATGAACTAAACATCAATTATGAATAAAATAGCCTGTAGGAAAATAAAATCTTTTCATTCTAATTTACTTACTTATTTGTGGCCTATAGCCCCCACTAGATTTCCCCACTAAATTCCCAGAGATTTAGTAAGCACACCACAATTATCATCTCATTTCCAGACTTCTGGACAATTAAATATATTATTTTCCTATAACTTCTTACAAGGCTTTCTTCGTTTAAGACCAAATAACAATATTTTAGATTCCTCCTTTACAAAACTGTGGCATGCAGTATACACTGTGACAGACCTTTCTATTTTTCTCTTGGAGAGCTTTCCATCTCTCTATATAAACAAAATTTACCTGGAGGGGGGGCGGGGGGAGGGAGTTAATGAGTTTTATTGAGATATAAATCACAACAAAATTCTCTGTTTTTATTAAAGACTATGACTATGGAGTTGTTAGTACAGTCTTAGAGTTGGGCAATCATGGCCACCATCCAATTACAGAGCATTTTCATCATCACAAACAAAAATCCCAAAGTCCGAAGTGCTGAGCAATTTGGATGTGTAGATAGTATTTTTCATCACATTTGTAAAGTTTGGGGCTACTATTTCTCCAAATTAACTTTTTGCTTATTTCTCTCTCTTTTCTCCTGGAACTCCATTATGCTCAAGCTGGTTATTCTTGTTGGTTTAGCCCAAGGCACTAGAGCTCTGCTCATTATTTTTTCTTTTTCTTTCTGTTCCTCAGACTGGATAATCTCATTTGATCTGTCTTCAAATTCTTTAATGTCTCTTGGCTCAAATCTTATGTTAAGCTGAACATTTAATTTTTAAATTCAGAATTACCCTTTTGACTTCTGAACTTCTATTTGGTTGTTTTAAAAATGATTTCTAGCACTTCCTTGATATGCCATTTGGTGGGAAACTATTTTCATATTTCCTTTTGGTCATCCTATAGTTGTTTGAAAACATTTCTTGGAACTGACTCAAAGTCTTTATCCATTATGTTCAATGTTGGGGCTTTCTCGGGGCGTGTCACTGACTGCTTTGCATGTGTACAGGCCATACCATACTTTTCTCTTTCATTTTTTTTTTTTTTTTGCGTGTGTGTGGAAAATGGAATATAATGTGGTAACTCTAGAAATAAGATTTCCGTGGGCCTCCCTGCACCTCACTCCCATCCCTGCTGCTGTTTAAGTGGCTGTCCCAGACTAATTGTAGCACACCTGTATTCTCTACTAGTGGGGCACATTCTAAATTCCCAAGAAAATATCAGAGTTTTTTCAAAGCTTCCTATGGATATTCCTCATTGTTTCCTTTTCGATCAAGCTCTTGTGAGCATCAATAGGTAACACTACCTCCTGCAGCTGTGAGGTGAGGCTAACACCTGTGAAGGTTCTTGACATTCACCCTGAGCAACTTAAAATGCCACAAAAACAACTTAGTCATACTCTTTAATAAAAACATAAGTTGTTTTTACCGACATTCAATCACTTTTCTAAAATAAACATTCTTAGGGTGGTTGTAAGCTCTTAGCTAATTTCTAGAGTTTTATAAAAGCTGACTTTGACAACTTTTGCCAGTGTTTTGTTGCTTTTATAGAGAAGCACATTCTCAATTTCTTACTCTGGAATTCCAACAGTCAGTCCCTACTTTTTTAATGATACAGGTCTGCCAATTTTTCTTAAAACATTTGGCATCAGATGTATTTTGAAGTTCAGAACTTCTAAATTTTTCCAAAGGTCATAACATGCCCCTGCTATTAAACACATTAGTATTTGTTTAGAAACATGACTGTGCACATGAAGTGAGACAAAAACAGACTGTAAATAGTATTACAGTTCATTTGGATAGTAATAATTTATTTAGAAAAATGGTAGAATTGATACAGACCACAAATATTTATTTGTCCCGATTTTATAGGAAAATATTCAACAAACCTTTAAATACCAGCAAAGTTAAAACCCTGTGATATAGCTGTTCATACATATGCAATAGTTATTACATCTGGTTGCTTGAAGACCTTAGAAAGAAGGAGACATGCATGAGGTTGGAAATGGACTATGATCTTGGGCTAGGATCAGGATTTTCAAGGATGAAGCAACACTACTCAAGAGAGCTATTTGAAAAGATTTCTGTTGGTCCATCTGTCTTCTCAATGTATGCTTTTACCTAAGCAACTGCTGTTTAATTGCTTAAACATGTCTTTAGCAATTTTTTCAATTGTATTCACAACATGACCACTGTGGCCACCATCACGAATGCAGCCATGACTATTGCTATATGTGAGTGTGGTTAAAAGCCTTCCAGCAATTTCCTGTCTCTGAAGGAATAAGTAACAGAAGCATCATTTCTTCGTTGTCACCTTCTCCTGACTTATCTACAGTTTTCACTGTTAAAATATATTGTATAGGGCCTCCCCTGATGGCGCAGTTGTTGAGCGCTGGGCTGCAAAGCTGCCTGCAGCCTCTGCAGCACCGGTTCGATCCCCGGCCGCCAGCAAGGGACCCACATGGCGCGCAGACCTCTCCTGCCACCCGCAGCTCCCCTCAGCAGTGTATTTAGTCAGTCTGCCTGTTCTGTTCTCCGCTCTGGCTCTGGTGAATTCTCTCACCCTCCGGCGCTTCTGACTGTACCCAGTGCTTGTATAAATAAATGAATCTTTAAAAAATATATATGGTATAATTAATGAAGGGATCACCTTCTCATTGGTGACATAAAATCCTTCAAAACGTACACCTGCCAGTTCATTTTCAAACCTCATTGTCAGTTAAAAATGCCAAGCATTTATTAATGTAACCTTTCAAGCATTTATGATTTTGAAAACAGGGTCTTCGTGGCTGACCTCTTGCAGGAAGTTTTGATTTCTAGACCTCTGCGAAGTATTATAGGCAGTAAAAACTTACTTGTTTTCCCAAAATATAACACTGACTGGTGCAGGAGACAAGTAAACGTTAAAAGCACTACTTTTAACACAAAGTTGAAGGAGAGAATGCACAAGAGTCGCCTAGGTATAATTTTAAATCTTCCACTGTTCTCCAGCCCAGCCTGCTTAGAGCTTGTACCACCAGCACAGGTGTTACTGAAAACAGTCCGAAGATTTTTGCAGAAGATGCCTTGGAGCCTCATTCAAACACTGCAGATGCTGGCTGTTTTCTAATCACTGCTGACTTAATGTTTCTGTGTCTGGAGCACTGGCACCCACCACAACAGTTTTTACCTAGTCTTAAAATATGGTGCTTCTCTTGTGACCTACAATAAAGGACTATTTCATCACCATCTAGTGCAAATTTATTCAACACTTAGGTTTTCATCAGACACTCTCAGCAAATCCATCAGGGTAATGTTTAACTGTTTCAAGATCAGCAAAATAACTTCCGTCTTATGTTGAGATTTTTTTTAACCAGCTCCCTAAACTTCTGAATCCGAATCCTTCCTTCTTACTACTAACATTCATGAACATGAAGCAGTCCATGATATCTAGCTTGTTTCCTGATCAACAAAGCAATCATGGCATTTGTTAACTTCCTTTTGGTCAAACCCACTTAATCAAAGCATGGTTAGGATCTTCTTTTCTTGTCTTGTGCAATGATGTCCTGTCTATCATTAGTTCTGGGTCCTCACTGCAAGTGTCAGTGTCAATGATCTTTCTATTCTTTAAGTCATACATGGCTGCAGTCCCCATACTGTCACAACACACACACCTGCCTACCATAACTCCATGTTGTGTACTATGACTGAGGACAGAGGTTTTCCTTCTGTTATTCACAGAGCTATCTTTAACTATTTTTAATATGTTCACATACAAGTTAGCTGAAAGTAGTAAGACAGTACCAGCCAATGGCAGAGACAGGAGTATCCAGTAGCAGTGTACGTGCAACGAGACACACTGGGTGACTGAGTCAGCTGGAGTCAGGCTTTGTCATCAAATGAGTCCACATGCCAAACTTTAAAAAAGAAAAAACTGTTGATTAGCAGGGCCTTCCAGATTTAAATGATGGTTAAGGGGTCTGGACCTATGTTTCTTTGTATAAATGATGTCACTTGTTTATTTAAACACATAGACACGAGGCTAGATTATCATCTTTTGCCTTTACAAATGATGCTACAATGAACTTCCATAAGCATAAGCAGAAAAGCTAATTCGAAGAATAACTGCAATGGTAACACTGGTAACTATTACTAAGTTGCTTCCCAGAGGAATGTTTTTGCATGCCCATGACAAGGTGGGATAGTGTCTAATTTCCTACAACCTTGAAAATCATTAACTTTTGGATTTTCATCAATCTGTCAACAAAGAAATGACATCTCAGTATATAGTTAATTTACATTTATCTTATTATGAGTGAGGTTGAGCATCATGTCATATATTTTAAAATGATTTGCCTTTTTCTATGAATTACCTGTTTTTTCCGTTTGCCTATTTTCCTACTAGATTTTTATTTAGTCTGTTAAAAACGAATCCTAGAAGTTCTTGATTTATAAGGCATCTAGCCCATGTTTGTGGTATGAGTTGAAAGCATTTTCTTCTCACTTTGTTAGGCAAAGAAATTTTAATTAATGCCAAAAGCCAGATATTTATAGATCCTTTATCATACATTATTGATTCAAACAACAATTAAGTATCAGACACTACATTACACTATGATCTCAAAACTGCAATTCAATTTTGAAGTTAGTATTCTATTTGTGGATTGAAATAACATATTGAGGTTATAGAATTTTTGTAAGGGTTAGAGATTAAGTACGTAATCTTTGGTACCACCTAACACACAGTAAGTACTCAGTAAATAGGAGATATTATTATTGTTTTGAGAGCCAGAGTTGAGTTGAAATTACTTTAACCTAAAGCAGAACAAAGGTGCCATTTGATTTTTCTTTGAAAAATAACTGAAAATAGCTAATATTAATATTTACTAGGAACTGTAAATAGCAACACATTTTACCCTTTTATGCAACCCCAAGAGTTAGATGCAGTATTACTTTTATTTTATAGAATGAAGAAGCTGGGCACAGAAAATTCAATAACTTGTCTTGATTCAAACACCTATAATTGGGGGGCAAGTTCATGGATTATAAACAAGTTCTGTTGCGTCTTCCCCGCTATTTCACCTCTTAGCACTTTACTTTTTAAAATTCTCATTGGCTCTACAAATTCATGTAATTTTGCACATTAATTTTTAAAACACTAGGGTTTCAGAGGACCTATTACCCCTGACTGAAACAGACACTTAAATACTTTATCTTTGCAAAAAGAAACCCTTTTCTTAAAACACATTAATAAGAACTCAATCAGATTACTATTTTATTTTAAAAGTATAGGCAATAATAGCTAACATTTATTGCTAATAAGGTATTATTTGAAGGACTTTTCATGTATTATCTTGCTTAATTCTCAACGCTGAGGATGGTACTTCTATAACCTCCATTTTATACCATTTTATAGGCAGGAAAACGGAGGTCAAGTTACAAGTCACAGCAAGTTACAGCTGGGAATACTATTTCAGATCCTGTTCTCTTAGTTACTACATTATCTCTCAAGATGTTATATACACACACATACAAATTTCCAAATATCTCATGTTAAATATTTAATTACATAATGGAAAGAAAAGCACTCTGTAAATGATTGCGGGTCATATAATTATTTTTTGGGTGCTTATCATTAGAAACTTTTTTTAGAAATGAGAAACAGAGGTAACCTACTAAGTTCAGCCTAAACTGCATAGCAACCACAATCTTTCCAGTTTGGAAACTACGTAAGTAACATTTTCTTCTGCATCACCTCTTATTCTGCGATTATATAGGATGCCAAAGACATGTCTTCTCCCTTTATGATGCTACAGATTATTTCCTCTTCCTTCTAGCTTTCTCAAAAGGCGGGCTGTTGTCCCTCCACCCTAGTTAGACTGCAGAAACTCAGGTTCCCACCACCTTGGTCAGGTCAATGACCAAAATGAGTTCTTTGGCCTTTCATTCCTTCGCCCCTTAAAAAAAAAAATCCCTCCCCAAATGGAAGAAAATCCGTCGTAAAGCACAAGTGTTCAGTGCACAGATTTCCCTGGGATAAGAAAGACACGCACTAGCCAACATGAAACATTTCACTTTCTTCACGCCCATCCCTGTGTCGGTTTCACTCCCAGGCCTCTTGGAGATCCCTCCTCCTGCCGAGGCCCCTAAAACCAGGTAACTCCCGGCCGCAACCCCCCTCCCGCCAGCCCGGGCCAAGGTGCGTCCCCTGAGCCCTCAACCTGCCCCATCACATCCCTGTTCGTGGATGCCTGGCTACCTGCCAGTCTCTCCTGCTAGTGGGCACAGGAGTCCTCGGGTCAGTTTCACCGACAGGGCCCCCAGGGCCTGGCAGCGAGGTGGCATCAAGAATCGCCTGCGGCGTGCTGAAAAAGAGAGGACCTGGCGCCTGAACTTCCCCACCTGGGCCCCACCTGGGCCCCACCTGGCTAATTCACCTCCATCCGCCTCCTCCTCGCCTTTCCCTCCCGTCCGACAAATTCCGCCTCCCTCCTCCGCCGTCCAGTCACCCCTACCTAGAGAGCTTCAGCCCCGATCCAGCCTCCGCCGGGTCCCAGGTAGCCCGGGCCGGTGAGCAGCCCGCGTAGACAACCAGGCGCGGCCCGGGGGCGGAGCCAGGCGTGACGCGCAGAGAGGCCGGCGCCGCCAGCCAATCAGCGTCCTGCGGCATAAGCTGATATGACGGCGGATCGCGCGACTAGGCGCCCCGCACCTCTCGGCGGTCACGTGGGCGCCGCGCTCGGCCACGCCCCCTGCTTTTTTTCTGCCGCTGCGAGGGCGCGAATAAGGTGCAGGTGGTTAGGCCGGGGAGAATGCAGTTTCAAGTTCTGGTTTTGTTTGCCTTTTGCTGCCACTGTTGCTTGTGACTCAGAGTCTTCTATGACATGTATAGAAGTTTCCTCCAGCGGCTCTTCCTCGAGGGAAAGATCTGCTGGGATTTCCTTTTATTTTTTGAATTTTTGAATTTTTGTACATCATTATTCATTTTTTTAACCTCTTTTTAATTTTTTTCTATTTTTTTTAAACAATATTTGCTTCCCCCCCACCCCCTCAGGTTGAGTCCCCATAGAATTTCCTTCCCCAAGGCACCCGTGCACCATCACCACAGTCCCCGGTGCTCCTACCTCCCTCCCTCTCATCCCTCTCCACCTCCTCCCCTGCAGGATGTCTCTGGTTTATAATTGTCTGTCTTTGCTTTGTTGTGTTTTGTACTGTTATTATATATATATATATATATTTTACACTGATGTCTTATTGGGTTCCCCTATATTCCTGCCATCAGAGAAACCATCCGATATTTTTCTTTTTCCTTCTGGCTTATTTCACTTAATTCAGCATAATTCTCCACTTATTTCAGCATAATTCCTTCTAGTTCTATCCACTTTGCTGCGAATGGCGTGAATTTATCTTATAGTGAATGCGAGAGGCGTTTCTCACTAGTGCAAGAGACTCAGTCAGATTCTGTTATGCAATGTATCTCACGTGGAAAGGCGGGTGGTTGTATGGGGAAGGATGTGATTTGATGCTTCGTGGTGAACTTAATGCCCTGTTAACACATGTTGATTTTTACTGATGGCATACCTGAAACTTAGATGCTGTTATAATGTACTTCCATGTTTTTACAAAAATCACTATACAGGGGGCAGAGCAAGAGAGTATGGGAGGACCAGTTAGAAATATAAACATAAGAGTATAAGACCAAATTAGTGGTTAGGAGAAGGAAATGGAGAAACTGAGTGAGTAAATCTGGTATTTTATGAGCAAATTTCAAATATAATACCTTGAATAGTTAGAATTTTATCGCTGAATAAGCATAATGACTTTTTGGGGGACAGTAGAGTTTAAAATTTTGCAGCTTGCTCCTAGCAACTTAAAGTAGTGATTAACCCCCAAGAGAATAGTCTTTTTTTAATATGTCAATAGAGCATCCTAGGTCACAGCTATTCTGTATGCTCTGCTCTCCAAGAACAATTGTCAAGGTAATTTATTTGTTCATAACTTGCCTGATTCTATACCTGCTGTCCAGTGTCAAAGAATTCAAAAATTAGTCCCAATATCCACCTCCTTGTCCAGATGGAATATAAACAAGGTATGAATAGTTATGGAATGGCTGAAAATGCTAGGCACTGTTCTGTACTCATGAGATATATTGATGATCACAAGAAATGAAGTCTCTGCCTTTATGAAGCTTATATAATAGTGAGGGGAAAGAGAACAAAAGATAATACAGTGTCAGTGATATGAAGAGAGCAAAAAAAAAAAAAAGGCTAAAGGAATCAAGGTTGATAGTGGCTACTCGTTTAGACAGTAAGTAGGGTCAAAGTTAGCTTCTCTGAGGAGGGAACATTTGACCTGAAGGGACTGAGGGGGTCTCCTAGCTAGAAAGATTTTAAATGGAGATTTAGAATCTCACTGTTTTTGATGAACTGGCTCACAAACTTCTATGTGTATGAATTTATTTTTCGGGGAGAAGGAATATTCAAGAAAAAGGTAGGTGTACAAGTGTCCAAAAGCAGATCCTAGGAAAAGAAGCTATTTATGCCTCAACCTGGTCCCCTGGTTTGTTATAATTTACAGTTTCAGGCATGGTACTTAACACTTTTGGGACCAGAGGGTCCTCTGAAATTAGATGAAAGCTATGGTCTCTCTCTCCACATAAAAGTACACAAGTGCCTCCAGTAGAAACTCTTCCCAACCACTGTCCACTTAATTGATATGCTCAGTTCCCTTCCTGAAATATACTACCCATCCCTATAAAATACTGAAGACTCACATCTAGTTGTCTTCATTCTGGCTCACCCCTGCATATCTCTTTCCCTAGTGAGTGGAATGCTGACCGAGAGTCAATTGTGTTTGCTCTAATCTATTTCTTTTCGTTGTACCCTTCATAATTATGTCGTTTAATTAAATTATACAAATTGATAAGATTTGAGCCTACAAAGAAAAATAATTGCTTTTATGAAACCCTAGAATGCTTTGGAAAGACTGTATAAAGATGAGTGCTAATAAAAATAGCCATTAAATTAGCTATAGGCAAGCTGGTTATAATAGATAAGACACATTTTTTTAAGTGCCATATCTAGTAGGATTTTCCATTCAGTTTGCTTTGCAAAAGTCTTTAACTTGCCTTCACTTTAAACTTTAAACAAACGTTTAAACAAATTGAAACTGAAAATTCAGCTAGGGGTATAGATTATACAGGAAGGCTATCTAGAGCTACAATCAGAAGAATCATTCTCAAAGACCTTTTTTGACTGGGGTATACATATTAAGGTAAAAATAAAATTCTTGAGAGAGAGAGAGAGGTAATACATTTCATGTGACAGTGACCCCAAATAACAGTAGTTTACTCCAGAAAAAGTTTTTCTTTCACATAAAATTATTTATTAACATAATTGTCTGTGATAACACATAGCCCCCCAAGTTATAATAACTCAAGCACAATAGAAAGTTCTCACTCACATAACAGTTCAAATGAATGATCCTGGTTAGTGGGCAATCATCTTCCATATTGTAATTCAGAGATCCAGATTTTTCCATTTTGTAGGCCCGTCATTATCATTATTTTCTGTGTCCTAGCTAGAGAAATAGGAAAGAGGATATGGAATGTATGTTGCCACTTTTTAAAAGCCTTGCTCTGAAAATTCTACACATTACCTCTCATATTCTATTGATTGTAATTCAGTCACATGGTCATTTCTAACTAACAGGGAAACTAAGATATGTAGTCTTTATCCTAACAGTAATCAGAGTTTCTTTTACTGTAATAGTTATGTCTTGCTTTGCAACAAATTACTCCAAATATAACAGCTTAAAATAATAGACATTTACCTCACATTTTCTGTGGGTGAGGAAGCTGGATGCAACTGAGCTCACCCTTTGGCTCAGAAGTCTCTGAATGAAACAGGGAGAGCCTTGGCCATAGGTGCAGTCATCGCAAGACTCTTGGTGGAGGATCACTTCCAAGCTCACTCCATTGGTTGTCAGCAGCCTTGGAAGATCTGTTTCTAAATTCTTTCACACGGCCACAGGCAGATATCCAGTCCTTTCTCTTTTTCTGTAGGAGAAACTGGCTTCTTTTCACGTGGGTCTTTTGGTAGATAGGAGGGTAGTAAGAGGGTAGATCTAAACTTCCCTTGTCCAAAAGCAGAAATCAGAACTCATACTTTAAGCACTTTTCTTTACCATCTTTGACAGCACATGGAAAAACACAAATTTTCATGAATTTGCATCTATGTCATTGCCCTTGATGGGACCAAGAACCCATCTTAGGGGGTTTCAGGTAGAAATGGAAGAAGTTTTCATAAGGACCGATATGAATTACAGAGGAAAGAAGCAATGCTGCTTTTGGACAATGTGACAAGTTGAGCTAGTAAGAATAAAGGCAGTTGCCTCTTTTTTTCAGGGAACACAGTCTGATTGCAGTGCAGAGAGGATGAAAGACATGTGATGTCATTTCTGAAAAATTTAGTCTATTTTTATCAAAGATGCAGCTGTGTATTGTTAAAAAGTACAGATAATATGTAATAGCTTTTTTAAAAAGATTTATTTATTTTATACAAGAACTGGGGTACAGGTCAGAACCACGGGAGGGTGAGAGAATTCACCAGAGCCAGAGTAGAGAACAGAACAGGCAGACGGAGCGAAGACACTGCTGAGGGGAGCAGCAGGCGAGGCAGGAGAGGTCTGCTGGGCCATATGGGTAGCTCCCTGGCCGGTGGGGAATTGAACCGGCACTGCAGAGGCTGTGGACAGCTTCGCAGCGCTGCACTCAACCGCTGCACCACCAGGGAGGCCCAATATGTAATAGCTTTTAAAGAAAAATAAAAAAATAGTGCTCACCTCTTAATCCAGCTCAGCCCAGGCAACCATTCATTACAATTCTACCATTTGCCTGTATTAAAATAAAAAATAATCATGCTTGGTATGGGTATCTTTATGTGTTTTTTTTGTTTTTTTTTTTTTTTTTTTTTTTTTAACTTTGGAGCCCTGGAATTAGGGCTCTGGACTAGGACAATGTGCTTATAGAAAGTTGCTGATGTGACTCCCTAAGGTGGAATTCATAGCAACAGCAAATCACAGGTTGGTTCATGTACACTGTCGGGGTGCTGGGGAATATCCTGCTCTCCTGTGGGTTCTTCTCAGGCTGGACAAGTAATCAAAACAGCATCAGATAGGTTAGCAAAGGGAAAATCATTTAATAACATGAATAGGGGATGCTACAATGATAATGCAGATCCCATCACTGGTGAGAGAGAAAGGGATATAAATCCTGAGTTGAAGAGACCCAAGGCTCCCAAGAGAGGGAGTGGGGTGAAACGGGGTGACTTCATTCTTACACAAGACAAGGAGGAGATGACTGTGTCTTTACTCTCAGAGTAAAG